CAAGCAGTCCTTATAACCACCCTGTCAGGTATAAGCTTAATAGGCTACACCTTGTTTGTGATATAGATGAAGTGGTCAAATACCAAGTGTTCATGTGATCCTGGAAAAGTTGGCCTCTCAAATTCTGGAGTGGGTATGATCAGCTGATCTGGTTGAAATTAGTGGCACAAAGTCATGATTAATATAAATCTCATTGATTTCAGTGGGTCTGCTCTAATGGTGCCTATTTGTTGAGGCAACCCATAGAGTGTGCTCTTGAATTTAAACTAACATCCTTTAACAAACTTCAGTTGGTCAATGGCAACTTTCTCCTTAGAATTAGTACCATCATTTGCTAGAAAGGTGGTAGAGGAGAGAAGGGCCATGGAGAGATTGGTTGGTATCACAATGGAAAGGAAAAGGCTAATGTTCCCCTCTGACTGTGGTTCCAATCTCAACTGCCCCAAAGTTAGTGTGATTTAGTATTTTTAAACAATATTTATACAAGAGATTATCTTTGGCAGCCTGTATGCACTGGCTTTGACTGAACAGTCAATACCATTCTCAGTGCTGGCTGCACTTCAGAATTGTCTTACTGCCTCCTACCTAGTTCCTAAGCGTGCACTGAGTCTACACTGTAAAGTATTTGAGCTGTTCAGAGGTTGTGTAGAAATTTCACTTAATCATATATTTTTCTTCATAACAATATGTAATAGACTCCTATGTATGCTATGCGTACTTACCATACATAGGAGGCAGTAATTTAAATGAAAGAGCTGGACTTTTCATGCCAAGATGCCTTGGACGGTATGAACCAATAAAACTTATATTATGTTTATGACATAATTTTAACAGTTGATAGATGTATAGCAGCTAAATATTGAAAAGAAAAGAGGTGTAAATGAAATGCAGACATAGGGCTCTTGTGTGCCATTCCTGTTTGGAATAGGAACCTTTCATGACCAGAAGTCCATTCTGAGTTTCCTGTATATATTCTGTACAGTTGAAAGCTCTTTTTATACCAGTCCCACACTTTGTTGATTCATCAGTGGATGGAAAAGCAAAGGGTTTGTGTTAAATTAAGTCTTATTCAGTCATGAGCACATTTATTTTCTTAGTAGGTAAAATAAATATTTAATTCTAGTGAATGCCCTTGACTTTTCTCAGGTTTAGTTCCCATCTCCAAATCCTGTCTTATCTCAATGCTGCCTTTTCCCTTCTGCCCTTTTCCCCTTCATGCTGGCTTTTCTTTCTTTGCAACCGGGTCGTCGTTTGGCCTAGTTTAGAAAACTTTGTCTCATCCCATTACGTTCTTTCCTATCCCATTCTGTGGCCTTTCACTCTCTCCATTCTGGTTTTCATCAAGTCTTCCTCTCTCTCCTAACTTAGCTCCCACCCAAGGTACTGTACATTTTCTCTCTGTCTCTCTACAAGCTTGCTATATTTTAGTTCTGCAAATCCAGGCAACCACCTTCACAGGTTACTGAAACCATCTGCCTATTGTGTAAATTATGTGGTGAGTCATGAAAGGCTTGACCAGTATGCATATGCATGGATATATACTGTTTATTGTCCAGCCAAAAGCATGCTTTGCAAAGTTTCTCTCATCAATAAGAAACAGAAGGCTGTATTTTCTTCTTTTTTTAGCATGTAATATATCTTCACAGCCACGGAGTTTTGTATCCTTTGAAACATTTCTTAACATCTTTCTCCTTTTCAGCAGGTACAGCTTTCATGAATAGTGATTTCCATAATTTTGGGATTCTCCAGTGAGGCCTGACTGTGCTTGACTGTTCAGCCTTGTACTCACATTTGATCTGTGAAATCTGAAAAGATCATACCTGACTTACCTGACTCAGATTTTGGATAACTATGAAGATTACTGAGTGAACATGTGTACATTGTATGACTATTCATGAACTGTGTACCCAATGTGTTACAGATATCAGCACTAAATTTACTATTTCATATCTCTTTGGGGCCCTAAACTATGATGTTAGGTGAAACTATGACTTCACCCATTGGCTAAACACATTGAAAGGCAGTGACTGGTTTACTTCTAGCAAGTTAATTCAGTTAATTTTTTGGAATCAAAGTTCAAAGGTATAAATCTGCTAATACCTGTTTGAAGTCTTTGCCAGTGACAGAAGACACAGAAGTGAGTTGAATAAACCTATCTTTCTTGAAAGGTAGTTCTGTGACATGGGCCCTGAGCATTTAGTAGGGTAGAATAAAGATATGGAATGTTTAATTCTGAGATTATGTAGAAGTAGCTTTAATAAATGCACAATATGGTATGTGTGAACCTAGCCATACTAGAACATTTTCCCAGTTAGTGGATCCACAATAATAGGTTCCAATGTTTTAAAATAACTCCTATGGAAATAGCTGAGCTTAATTGCTTCCTTTACTTCCTTCCCACCATACAGACCTCTTAGTACTTCTGGCAATGCTATGCAGGAGTTGCTGAGGCGAAATTTATTTTCACTTCTAAAGGGGAATATATTTACAGTGTTATAGTGCAGAACTGATTTTGCAAATACATCCTTGCTTCACTTTCAAATCAGAATGCTTCTCTTAAAATTGCTGGCATTTCTTCAATTAAAGTATAACATATTTAATTTGTAACTATCACTAGTGGATAATATGATTTATCATTTTGAGTACATTTAGTGGAAAGATGGCACTAAAACAGTGTACGAATATCTGATGCTTCGAATCTTTTATAACCATTATTTCCTTATCCAGTTCTAGGAAAACAAACAAACATTATCTAAATTGTGAATAATCCTAGCCCCTGTTCAACACAAATGTAACACAGTGAACTTTTGCTGTTTTTCTTTGCTGCTTCTGTACGGCAATTCACAAACATTTCTGAGAACATTGTGAAATCTTCATGGAAAAAACCTAATTGAGTGTGCAGTACAGTTGTGTTGACATTTGCTGTGTTACGAAAAGGTGAATAAATATTTGATACATGGAGGTGGACCAAGTAAGAGCCAAGATACAGGATTCAGAGGCAAAGGATGAGGCCATAGAAGTAACTAGCTGCAAATATCTGGCAATTTGTAATTGCCTTCTTTCCCCATCAGTTGGGGTCTAACTATATTACATTACAATTGCAATTTAGTGAGGGATGCCACTGCTTCTTTTAAGGCAGTAACTTTTATCGGTTTTTGCAGTTACAGAGGTGGGACCTATTTATTTATTGATTGATTGATTTATTGATTTATTGATTTATTGATTTGATTTGATTTATATCCCACCCATCTGGTATATTTATACCACTCTGAGCGGCTAACAACAACATAAACTATATACATTAATCCATAAACATCAGCTATTAACAAAACATACCAAAATAATAAATGATAGGTAAATAAGGGAGAAAGATTAAATTAAATTAAATTAGATTAAATGCTGGCAGGAGGGAAGGCCTGGACAAAAAGCCATGTTTTAAGTTGAGTTTTAAATGTACCCAGCGTAGGGGCCGCGTGGATCTCAGGAGGGAGATTGTTCCAAAGGCGAGGAGCCACCACCGAGAAGGCCCGGTTTCGTGTCTTTTCCCTCCGGGCCTTCCTTGGCGTCAGGCTGTTAGATGCGTCAGGCTGTTAGATGTTAAAGCAGAATAATCAGTACTTGACGATATTGCTTCTTGGTTCTGTTTTAGGTGTTGGGGCAACAGCAAAATAGATGTGAGAAGGGTGCATTTTGTACCACATGTCTGCAGCTTCTAGCAGTCTTTGAAAACTGAAAATTATTATACTTGAGGAATTAGAAAGTAAATAGATAAAATTGTTCTAAAAATCTAACTACGTTTGGAGACCTCATGACTGTTACTGATAGAAATAACTCTGCATAGGATTAACATGGTATCTATTTATTTAAATGTTTCTTGATATTATAATATTTATTTATTTGGACTGATGTTAGCTCATGTGCTTACATTAAAATATTTATCTATATCCAGATAATTCTTCCCAGTCCATGTAAAAGCAGGAACACGGCATTTCAAAATCGCTGCATTTCACAAAATCGCTGCATTTATTAAAACGGTCCACTGCCTGTAGGGTCGTTATTACTTTTGGTCAGTGTGTACCAAGGCAGGTTCCCATGATTTTTCTGTCAAACCAGTAAATGGAACCCAGGATATGGATATATAAATGAAAGGTTGGGGCTGGCCAAACTCAAAGTAGCTCTGCCACCCTAGTAACGTAGCCAAGTGCATCCAGTAGTTTATGACATATAAATGACTTGCTTCCTTTCATTTGCATTGTAATGCATTCATAAGGATCTTGGGGGGGGGGAAGTCAATGAGTGTTTGGGGTTTGTTGACAGGAGCCTCAATATGGAGCTGCTGTGAGGCTGACAAGGCTGAAGTGTATATGGCCACCTTTTGCAGATATTTCCCTGTGTAATGGTGTTGTTTTGTTTTGTATTAATTTCGAGGTGGGTTTACTCATAATCTGGATGAATTGTTGTGTGATGACTAACTTGTGAAAAACTTTTTCATTATGTGTGTCATATGAATAATGTTCAGTGGTGCCTCGCCTTGCGATTGCCCCGCATTACGACAAAACTGCATTATGACAATCTTTTTGCAATCGCAATTGTGATCGCAAAACGATGGTCTGAATGGGTTTTTTTCGCTTTGCGATGATTGGTTCCCTGCTTCGGGAACCGATTCTTCGCAAAACGACAATTTTCCTCCAGCTGATCAGCAGTTTCAAAATGACCACCAGGTAAATAAAATGGCTCCCCGCTGTTTTCTGGGACGGATTCCTCGCAAGACAGCCACCCAAAACGGCCGCCCTATGGAAGATCTTCGCTGGATGGTGAGTTTCCAGCCCATTGGAACGCATTGAAGGGGTTTCATTGGAACGCAGTGAAAGGGTTTCTGTTCGAAACGTTTGCAATAGAACTGGATTTAAAACATTCTATATGCACTGTACAGAACAATCTCATTATTTGCTGAAACTGACTTTTTCTAAGACTCTCTAAATTTCTTCTTTTCAATTCAGAAACTTCTCTTGAAAAAAAGTGGGACTTCAGTGATATTGAAAGCAAATTTTCTTTAAGAACACTTGGGAATCCTGATGAAGACACCTGCTACATAGTTCCGGGAGTGGAGTCAAGCGTAGAACAATGCAACTTCAATCACACAAGTAAAACTTTCGTGGTGATACATGGATGGACGGTAAGAAGGGTTGGGCAGCCTTCCAGCTGCTTCAGTAAGAATTCGCATATTGGGCTGAATTTGAATAGAGGCCTACTAGTTAATCTGTTACATACTAGTAAATCTGTTACATAGTTTACTTACCTTTTTGGATAGTCTGTTTCTGACAGCAGTAAGTATCCCATTCTGTCAAAGTGTTTTGAATTGTGTTTAGAAATTGTGCTGTAGTTTTTATAGCACATGCTATCTTTGTATGAACTTAGGGTTCTCTTAAACTCAATTTTCATCATATCTATAGCGAAATAATAATTTAACTATTGCCTAGTTAAAAAATGGCAGAATATGATTAATATATTTTGTAATGGTGGTAAAAAACCAAGGATAAATAAAAATTATGGTATATTTCACAAAGGCTAGGAGGATTGGGAATACCCAATATTAAAATATATTACATAGCAAATCAGTTAAGACATGTCCTGGAAACTATGGAAAATAGCAAAGAAACTATGTGGTATAAATTGGAGCTACCTAATTTGGAACAAAGCTTGGAAAATCAATTTTTAAGGAAAATATCAAAGATTGTATTAAAAATATTATAAAACTCTTATTAAAATGTTACAATGTTGGAACTGATACAAGAAAATATTGAGCCCACCAATTTCTTCATTAAGTCAAGTGACTGAATTAGATTCCTGGAAAATCTTGAAAGTGTAAGATACTACTTGAACAAAGAGTTATAAGATTAACAGACTGTTTAAGGAAAATTTCCAATAGAGCACTGGTTCTTAACCTTGGGTTACTCAGGAGTTTTGGACTGCAACTCCCAGAAGCTTTCACCACCAGCTGTGCTGACTGGGGTTTCTGGGAGTTGCAGTTCAAAAGCATCTGAGTAACAAAGGTTAAGAACCACTGCAATAGAGAACAAATTAACATGTGGATTAAAGGTTAGGAAAGAAATATTGAAAATAAATTATTTTAAAGATCTATGGAATGTATTTTAGCACATGTGTTTGAGAAAAGAAACATTCCAGACCAAGATTCACTATATTTTTTGGAAAGAAACAGGGCATAATGAAGCAAAAACTTTTCTTATCCCGAGAGTGGAGGGATGTACCTGATGTTTATTGTATCAAGTATTTTGAGTTTAAATTAATTGTATTTTCTTTTTTCTTTTATTTGCATTTGCTCTATTTTTGTATTTTTGTTTCGTAATAATAAAATATTTTTAAAAATCAGTTTCATCACAGCTCTAGCAAAACAATAATATACAGTGGTGCCTCGCTTAGAGATCGCTCCGTTGAGTGACGAAATCGCTTAGCGATGGAGTTTAAGCGATTGCAAAAGTGATCGCTTAGCGATGGACCCTACGGGGAAAATTTGCTTTGTGATGATTGCGAGGAAGCAATCATCACAAAGCCCCCATTTTCGGCCAGCTGACCGGCGGTTTCAAAATGGCCACCGGGTAAACAAAATGGCTGCCCGCTGTGTGTCCTCGCTTTAGAGGCACCGAAAATGGCCACCCCTATGGAGGATTTTCACTTAAGGTTAGTTTTGAAGCCCATAGGAATGCATTAATGGTGTTTTAATGCGTTTCTATGGGCTTTTTAATTCCGTTTAGCAATGAAATTGCTTCGCAATGTTTTTTCCTGCACGGATTAACGTCGCTAAGCAAGGCACCACTGTAGTTGTTGCCTAGTTGTGTCCATCTGGTCTGACATTCTTCCTCCAGTGGTGGCCAACCAGATACCTTTGGGAGCTAACAAATGGTCAAGCCTGAGCTAAAGGCAGTTGCCAGAAGATAGCTGGAGAGTCAGAGTCCAGGGAATGTCCTGGAATCAGTGCCAAGAGAGAGGCAGAACCATTCTAGAACCAGGAAAACCTTATTGGTTAGGCAAGTCTTGCCACAGTTCAAACAGGAATCCCATCATAGCCTTTCCTGTCAAGGGACTGAAGGCCAGCTGGGGCAGGCAGAGGAAGAACTGTTGTTTTTTTCTCCAGTGCTTGACATTTGGTGATACACTGTTTCCATTTAGATACCATGGCTTATAATATACTTACCTTTCATTGAAGTATATAATCACAATGGCCTACTTGGGAGGCAAGGTGAAGTGCTCACCTCTGTGAGTGGAGTCTTTAAGGGATGCTAAATCATGCCCTCCTCTACAGAGTGGGACCCCCAATGCTGCTCCTGGGGGCGTTTCTTCTGGAAGATGTCTTCAGAACAAGGCACTGAGGCTGGGGTAGCTTTGAGGACTGCTTGTGCTGCAGAAATGCAAGTAAGTTCCATGGCTGTTTCAGCCGCAGTGCCTCATTTTGAGGAAGGGTTGACTGCTCAGTAGTGGCTTCTGTTATAGACTGAGGCAGTTTGTTTTTCTGTTTTTTCCAGATTACCGGCATGTTTGAGAGCTGGGTCCCCAAGCTAGTAAGCGCCCTGTATTTGAGAGAACCTGACTCTAATGTCATTATTGTGGATTGGCTGGCTCGGTCCAGCATGCATTATCCAGTATCTGCTGCTTACACAAAACTAGTGGGGCAAGACGTTGCCACATTTGTTGACTGGATGGAGGTAAGCAATTATACTTTGTTCCATTTCGGCATACAGTCGGGAGGGTTGAATACACAGAACTCAAAGTACTGTCTCTCAGTTACACAGTCAGTAGACTCTTCTGACACAGGGGTTGCTGAATAGCGCCATTTGGGATTCTAGTAGCGAAAATGTACATTTGAATGCTTCTCCCATGGGGAACAAGTTTAGAGAACAGGCCTGATTAAAACTTTTGTTCTTTGTGTATTAGTTCTCAAGTGCAAGGGATATTTTAATACCAACTGCCACTTGAAATGGTGCACTCCATAAGAATTTGAATCTATTCCATTATAGCAGATTGGTTTTAGTCTGCCAGACAGAGGAGTGGTAATCATCTTGCAGGATGTTGTGGACATTATATATGGCCGCTGGGATTATGTAGCTTGTTTTGCTGCAGTTGAACCTGTCAAGATGCCCAAATAGTAATTAAATTGCACTAATGAGGTTTATATTTATGGTGGGGAAATATGTTGATTTGGTGTCAGTCCTGTACTGGATATGGTATCCCCCTCTCAAGGATCTGACTTACATCTTAAATCTGGCTTTAGATCTGCTCTTGAATGTCCACTACACATCTTTAGTCAGGAATTTTTTTTTTTTGCTGACATTGTATGTTTTTTATGTGCTGCACCTTCTCAGCTGTGCATACATTGGCCACTTCAGTACTCACATTATAACTAGATTATTATAATGCAGTTGCTATGCCTTTGAAAAACTCTGACTCGTCTAGGGCATAGTGGTAAATTTATATATAAAAAGATTCTCCCCCTCCCCACTAAGGCTGATGCTCCAGTTCATTAGCTGGCTCCTATTTCTGAGTGAAATTCAAACTGCTGATTTTGACTTTTAAAGCCCTAAATCACTGGTTCTTAACCTTGGGTTACTCAGGAGTTTTGGACTGCAACTCCCAGAAGCCTTCACCACTAGCTGTCCTGACTGGGGTTTCTGGGAGTTGCAGTTCAAAAGCATCCGAGTAACAAAGGTTAAGAACCACTGCCCTAAATGACTGGAGGTGACATCAGGATCTGTAAAGAACCGCCTTATCTTGCAAGGCTCTATCTTCATGCTTACATATTTAACCATAGCCCTGAGGCTTGTGTCACCCCAAGAAGGTGGCTGCTTGAGAGTTGACTAAGTATTACATAAACATCCTGGTGCTTCCTCACTTCATTTGTAAGCATTTATTAGTAAGCACTAGAGGATGTTAGGATGTTCACTTCAAATTCTTGTAAGGCCTTGCTTATAACACCTTGGTCAGTCTCCCCAGTCTAGAGCCCCCTCCCCTATGACCAGACTACACAGGTGGCACAGGCAAGGGTGGGACAGCCATAAGGTGAACATCTTCTGCCACTCTGTCTCAGGCCTGGATATAAGTGTCAGACTCCCAAACTCGACTAAGAGAAGAAATTCAGGTTCCAGGATCAGGGCGAGCTTCATTCTGAGTAAGGGACTGGCTCTGAACCTTAAGTAACAAATATCCTCATCTGTGAACATCCTAGATCAAATGCTTGCCATAGCTGTAGGCAGAACATTCTCCTCAGCGGAATTGAGATTAGGGAATTTTCTGTCCAGAAAAGTCTAATTCTGTAATTTTCTTCTCTTTTACAATTTATAAATTTGAGTGGAATCGTAGTAGCTTTCTTGATGTTCCTGTGGCATTTTTCTCTTTAAACAAATGTTTACTAGACTCCCTATAGGAGTTTATTCACTGCTTACCTGAAAGCAAACTATAGAGCTTAATATTTTAAAATGATAATTTTATAGGAACAGTTTGGTTACTCCCTGGACAAAGTTCACATCCTGGGATATAGCCTCGGTGCCCATGCTGCCGGTGTTGCTGGAAGTCTGACTGGTAAAAAAATTAACAGAATTACTGGTAAGCAAGTTTTGTTGAGGTTGGGGTGATAGAAAGAAAGTGGAATATGCCCTTTCCCCCCCTCTCTGTGGTGTGTTTTAATGTGGAATGTTGGTAGGATTGGTGTAGAGGTACCACAAGGGTAGGGGAGAAGTTCTCATATCTGTGCATTTATAAATAGACTAGGTTTTTGTAGTCTTAATAGTGCTTTAGGGATAAGTAGCATCAATATTCAGATTTGGAATTTGGAATAACACAATTCAGCTTCGAAATTTAAAACATTTGGAATTTCTGGTTATCCAGAACTCTGTTGCAGTCAGTGTGAATACTGTATAGTCATTATTTTCCCCTTCAAAAGAAACACAAACAGGCAATGCGTTTTAAAAGGATTTTCCTATGTTTCCTGACACCTTCCCCGTGGTTGTGCCAAACAAAAAGAGTGCACACCAATAGACAGCAGTGCCTGGGTATTAGGAAATGACTGTAATGGACATGCTGATTGAACCTTTAACAGTGGGAATGCTAGCAGGAAATGCCAGTAGCATTGGGGAAGCAGAGAACAGGTTGCGCTGCGGAGTGGGCAGATTGGAGCAGCAGATAGCCTGTGGTGGGTGAGAACTGTGCCAACAGCATGGGGGAACAACACAGTTGAGCAAGTGAGCACAATTTTAGAGTGGAAGTTGGAAGAATGAAAGGGACAGAAGGGGAAGGAGCAGGAGACTGAGGAACAGTGAAGGCCATTGAGAGGAATTTTAACATTAACTTGAATTAATTGGAAATCTATCTGAAAAGTGTGATATTAATGGTGCAGTGTTACATAGTAGCAGTATTAGAGGCCAACTAATTTAGCTTTCTTTTCTCTTGTCCTTATTAAGGTTTAGATCCTGCTGGACCCAATTTTGAATATGCTGAGGCAGCTGACCGCCTTTCTCCAGATGATGCCATCTTTGTAGATGTTTTGCACACAAATACAAGGGGGTCCCCTAATCGTAGTATTGGGATACAGCGGCCTGTTGGGCATATTGATATTTATCCTAATGGAGGTGGTTTCCAGCCGGGTTGCAATATACCAGAAGCTCTGCGAATGATTGCTGAAAAAGGGTTGCAAGGTGAGTTGTCATGTCTGAATTCTATTGGAACTATAAGTATTTTTTTAAAATTACAGTATTGTGATGTCTAATTTCTTTTATCAATTTTCTATAGCATGCAAAAATCACAAGTTTACAAAACATTACAGTAAATCAACTTCAAATTAAACAAAACCACGCTTCCAACCCTGTGCAAACAACACCCCCCCCAACCCTTGGAACTAGTTTCATTTTCTTTATCCTTATATTTTGTATCACCCCATCTCTCTCTGGTGGATACCCCTTCCTTTTCTGAAACACCTATTCCAAAAATAAATTCCATATTTCTTTAAAATCATTAGAATTTGATACTCCTCTTTTGATCTTGGTTTCACAGGATAATTTATCATTAATTTCCTTATTCCACATTTCTTTGTACCATTCATACTAAATTGGTTATTACTTTTCCAATCCTTTGCAAATATTAAGCTTGCCACAATCACCATTATAATAATTAATTCCTTTTCTAGTAGAACTATAAATATAACTAAAACCCAGCGGTTGCTCATATGAAATAATTATCATCTTTCTCAACCTTATCTTTTTTAGATGTTTTACTAAAGGATCCATTATACCAATAATCTGTCTTAGCTGAATTTATTGTGCATAACTAACTCCCTCTTCATTGTGGTTCCAGGTTTAGCTGGATATTTTTGTTTCCTGTGTCACAGCTTGTAGAATATTGAGCATTGCCTTTAAAGGCTCTCCTGCAGCTGTAGTGTCTGAGCAATTAAGGAAATGCTCAGTGTTCCTCAGTGGTGTTGTGTGTTGCAATTGTGTCACTTTCACATTGGATGTGTGTTCCCACTACATCAGCAGCAAAGACAAACTTGGCTTATATTATTTGACAAACAGAGGACAATCTGCAGTGTGGTAGGTTATATTAACCTGCTGCTTTTTTGTGTGCTGGACTGTAGAAATAGATATAGGCCAAATTATTTTGTGCAGTAGTTGGTGTACCACTAATGCTATAACTTTGGAGGGAAACTGCTTCAATTAAGGAAACACTGTAGATATTATCTGTTGAGTATTGAGCAGCATGAGTTAGTACACAACAGATAACATCTACAATGGCCTCTTAACTTAAGGTAGTTCACATCCAAAAGTTACGTTTTTTGGCCATAGATCTCAACTGGATAATGGGATGAAGTCATACCTAACTATTCAGAATATATATGTAAACGTATGAACACTTGTGCAATGGAATGCTGAAAAGGATGCCACTCATCCCCATTGGGACTAACAAATGAATTCAACCACAAATTTGAGAGACACATAGAGAAATGGGGGAGGTAAACAGGGAGATGAGAGGGATACGCATATTATATATAATATGCGTATCCCTCTCATCTCCCTGTTTACCTCCCCCATTTCTCTATGTGTCTCTCAAATTTGTGGTTGAATTCATTTGTTAGTCCCAATGGGGATGAGTGGCATCCTTTTCAGCATTCCATTGCACAAGTGTTCATACGTTTACACTGCCTTCATTTGGTTTCCTCCATCATTATGTATCCTGATCTGAACAGCTACAGGACCTTGTAGTACCATTGTCTGCATTGTACTGTTTGTGACTGGAGGTGATTAATAATTCCTTCTGAGAAGATAAATAAATAGAGACCAAGAGGAAAATGTAGCAATGTAGAACCAGCAGTCAGAAGCAGCAGCATAATATTTTAAAAGAAAAAAGTTACCACAATCTATATCACTGGTTCTTAACCTTGCGTTACTCAGGAGTTTTTGACTGCAACTCCCAGAAGCCTTCACCACCACCTGTGCTGGCCGGGGTTTCTGGGAGTTGCAGTTCAAAAGCATCTGAGTAACAAAGGTTAAGAATGATTTCCAGGGAGAAATATCCTATCTCACCCAACTTAATAATTTTATATACACATGATGCAGCTGTGCTTTATCTTACATATGCTGGTAAAGAACAGCTACACATTTTATTTGCAATGCATCCAGTAAATATTACTTTTTTTTCCTATTAAAGATGCAGATCAGCTGGTCAAATGTTCTCATGAACGCTCCATCCATCTCTTCATTGATTCCCTTTTGCATGAAGAAAAACCAATTATGGCCTACCGCTGCACCTCAAAAGAAGCATTTGAAAGAGGTCGCTGCCTGAGCTGCAGGAAGAACCGCTGCAACAATGTAGGCTACAAAGTCAACAGAGTGAGAAGCAAGAGGAATATCAAAATGTATTTGAGGACTCGAGCACGAACGCCTTACAAAGGTAAGATTACTAAAATGATAATGTGTGCTCTCTCTCCCTTTTTTTTTTTTTTCCAGAAAATGGGGAAATGAATCTGTTTGGGACCTGACTGAACAGAAAGTTCTCCTGCACAAATTTCCTACTTTTCACCTAGTTTTTTTGTTTCAACTACAAATGTTTCTGAAACCCTGAATTAGTTCATAACCGGAATAAAGCAGGTTTGTGAATATCAGATGAGCTCTAGTTTCATTCTAGCAAATTTTAATATTTTTTGAATGTAAGCAGATATTGATTATGAGTTAATTTACATTTTGTATGCTATGTGGACTGCATGGCTGGCACAACTAAGCGGCCACACCCCACCCTGGTTGAGTACAAGTTATTTCTTCCTGGCAACTTATACTATATAGTATATAGTATAAGGAGTTGCCAGGAAGAAATAACTGAACTTGTGCTCAACCAGGGTGGAGTGTGGCTGCTTAGTTGTGCCAGCCATGCAGTCCACATAGCATACAAAATACTATAGTATATAGTATAAGGAGTTATAGATAGATATAGACAGACAGACAGATAGATATATATTTCTGTTGTTGACACTCTGATTCCACTGCTGATCTAGTGTAAACAAAGAGTATCTGACAGGAGCCAGCTGGAGAAGGAAATTATCATAAATCATGATGGATAGTATATGTTAGTTTGCATGTCATGTGCTAGAATGCACTTCACTGATGCACATGTGCAAAAACCTGAAGGTGCTGCAAAACTTTATAATGGTTGTAGACTCAGCCAGTCCAGTGTGGACTGACAGATCACTCCTTAATATACCCAATAGGGGGTGATACATGTGGCCAAATTCTATAGATTCTTGGGGAGTCATTGCATAAGTTGCTTCTGGGTGCATGTCGGTTGTGTGCCTGGTCATGTGTCTGATTACCACCCTGCTCCCAGCATGTGCCTTGGTATGTCTTAAATAAGCTGCAGTTACAAGCTTATGCAACCCCTCTGTGAACACCAAAATAATTTTGCTGTGTTCGATAAGGACAGTGTGCTTGTTGATGCCCTATCTGGATGTTCTACTACATTCTACATTTAAAGTGCAGTTGCACTCCATGCATGCCTTGGCTCTTGCTACGGAAAAACAAAGGAAGGGCAGCAGAAAGCATGCAGAAACAAGAACTTGGTGATGATAAGTGATCTGAAGCCATCTTGTACCTTAGTAAGCAGTCACTGCCACCCTTCCAATACCTGCCACAGGGATAGTAATTAACCTTACATATTGATCCTAAGATATGCAGTACTTAGGAAAGGAGTACTAAAATGGGAGAACATTGATTCTTGAATAAATTCGACACCACATGACATGGTGTCCCCCCCTCAACACCTCCCCACGGTTTGTATTGGGGAGGTGAGAAAATTCTAAGATGGTACTTTCGAAACTTTTAAAATTATTGTGTTGTCCAGTTGCTTGTGAATGAATGACTTCCAAAAAGTCATGTTATCAGCCCTACATAGGTCTCATCCCATCTTAAGTTACTTTTTCTTTTTTTTTCTGCTGCCTTAATTTTTTCCTAACATTTTTGGCATTTCCAATAAGTAGTGTCTTATTGTGATATGTCCGAAGTACAGTAGCCTCAATTTAGTCATTTTAGCTTCTACGGAGAGTTCAAGTGTGAGTTAATCTAGGATCTCCCTGGTGGTCCATGATATCTGCAAAGTTCTCCTTCAAAATCTCATTTCAAATAAGTTGATGTTTCCCCCTGGTAACTTCCTTTGCTGTCCAGCTTTCACACCCATACATAGTAATCAGAAGTGCCATAATATGGAAGGACTTAGCTTTGGTCTCAATTAGCACATCCTTTCTCTTAAGGATGTTTTCTAGCTTCTGTTCTGAATACCTGTTCTTCCAAATCTCAGTCTTCTGTCTGCAGTCTCCAGTTGCGATTAATTGCTGAATTGGGGTATTAAAAGTATTTGACAATTTTAATGTATTAATTTATTGTCAATGGTAAAATTATGTAATGTTTCTCTAGTTGTGATATTTCTCTTTAACATTCAGTTGTAATCTTGCTTTTGGACTTCTTTAATATGCATCAATAGTCACTTAAAGTCATTATTATTTTCTGCCAGTAGTTTGGTATCTTAAGTTTATTTATGCTGTTTCCACCAGTTTTCGCTTCTTTATCTGAATATAATTCTGCTTTTGTTTTTATATGTTCTGTATGGCTAAATTAGACAATGAAGTAAAATGTACAAAAGTAACTTTGCAATTTCTGCTCAAAAATATTACTGGTTGAGTAATGGTAGTAGACTGAAAACCACACTGTTTTTAAAGTTTCAAAATTACTGCCTTTTTAATCTTCATTTCTTCTTTGTTTATTTGCTTCCAGTGTTCCATTATCAAGTCAAGATCCATTTTTTTGGAAAGGTCAGCATGACTAAGACAAACCAGCAATTCCTTATCTCTCTGTATGGCACTAAGGATGAAAGTGAGAACATTGCATTTGCACTGTGAGTATTAACAGAAATGACTGACCTTGTATTAGTTGCTAGAAAATTGTACTGTCTGGGAACCAGAAGAAACACTTGTGTCTAATTTAGAATTTAAAAATTATCAGCAGAATTTCTGCTTTTTTCTTCAATTTGTGGTGTCTTATCCTAATCAGAAGTAATCTTCAGAGCTGCTATGGAATGGAACATGCATGTGCTCGGAGAATTGCTTAGATGTTTTTTTCTCAGTGGACTGTACAGAAGCAGGTCATTAAGGGAGGGTTACATACCTTGTACAGTGGTGCCCCACTAGACAGTTACCCTGCATGACAGTTTTTTTGCTAGACATTGGCTTTTTGTGATTGCTATAGCGATTCGCAAAACAGTGATTCCTATGGGGGAATTTCGCTGGACAGTATTTGGTCCCTGCTTCGCAAACCGATTTTCACTAAACGATGATTTTGACAGCTCACTCCGTGCTCGCAAAACAGGTGTTTTTGGGACCTAAGCTTCACAAGACAGCGATTTAAACTGCTGCTAGACAATGATTTCGCTAAACAGCGATTTCAGTGGAATGGATTATCATCGTCTAGTAAGGCACCACTGTATATATTGTAATTTCACTGGAACAAATGATGCACCTGCAACATTTTAAGTTGTGGTGAGCTGCATACATTTGCCAAAGGAAAAGGAGAGCCTTTTAGTCTAGTTTTGCATTTTAAAGAAGTCTGAAAACTTGTCAAAAATAAGAGTTGCACTTTTTCCTCTTGATACTCACCTTCACATTCTGCAAAGTGTGACATGATGTCTGCATTTCACCTAGCTTATGTACTCTAGAATAATGGTTGCCAACCTTGGTTCCCCAGATGTTCTTGGACTGAAACTTCCAGAAGCCTTCACCACTAGCTGTGCTGGCCACAGTTTCTGGGAGTATTAGTCCAAGAACATCTGGGGACCCAAGGTAAGGAACCATGGATCTAGAGGCATTAAAAAGAGGAAGGAAGAGCTTTCTATTTGAACAACTTCTACATGGTTTGTGTATATATGTCTGTAAATTTCTACTTAATAAATTGGGTCCAAGACACACAAATAGCTTATAACACTGAGATTGGCACTTTTAAAGGCAAGTTGTACGGTTCAATCTAAAGAGCTGTAGGCGGAAGAAAAGGAAGTGGCATTTCCTTTCCCTACTTCTTTTCTACTATAAATGGCAAAAATCTAAAATTGCCTGGAGTGCCTTTTTCATCTAGTCTTGTGAATTGTGTAATAAATACTCTGATGGTTCACAGTTATTTAAAATTATTAGTCATTTCTTGTGTATGAAGATCTCTCCCACGCTTTAAAGGATAAGTGAAGAGTTTATTTTAAATACCATATGTATTTCAGTGTCTTTGTGCATGGCTGGTTTTGACTCTATTTGGCCATGTCTGGAAAAATCACCATCTTGAGACAGTTAGGTGCACCAAAATCCAGCTGAAACTGAGATTAGTCACCAAAGATGTAAAAATAAATACTGACTGTTCTGTATGGACAGATGTATTTATTTATTTATTTTATTTATACCCCACCCATCTGGTCTTACAACAGATGGGTTGTAGTAGTCGTTCTTTATTCATATCAGAGTGTGGAACAATTCAAAATCATGGGTTTTTGACCAGAGACAGTCAGAGCTTTTGATGTGTGCAGAAACCTTCAGCCATCATACGGGGAGTCGGCATCCATGAAGTGGGTGGGTTTGGTGCCGTTCCATTGCAGTGTTTCTGGACACGAAGGATTTGCCATCTGCATGCCATTGCCCAGGGGATTCCCAAGTGTACTTGCAATGCTTTTCCACTCTTCGTGGAGGCTCCTTCTCTGTTCCCCAGTTGTAAGAGGGCTAACAAACGATAGAATATAGCCTGTTTCTTCTACTTCTGAGTCCTGTCAGTTTGGAATTCCTCAAAGTTCTGCTGCACATCATTGTATTGTCAAATTGTGTGCATACTCCTGCAATGAAAACAACCTAGAAATGTGATCATTGATATTGAAGAAAATCTGTTCTCCTTTAAATGGCTTTCATTGGTCTTGATCCAGCTGTTTGTTCCAACCAGAGAAGGCATGGTGAGTTAATAGGACTTTTGTAAATTAACTGATACAGAAATTCCATTGATACATTGACTTTTCTCTCTTTGGGATGAACAACTGGGTTTATCCCATTGTCTCCTTGGTTGCTACTACTATACAGTGAATTACAGTAGATATTGGTTGAAACAACGGTTCAGTGACATAACTTTTACTCCTTTACATGCTTGGGAAGATACATGCTGTGTCTCACAAACTAACATACTGTATCTGTATTCCTAAGCACAGTACAGCTAAACTTAGAGACCTGAGCTTCCATGTCAAAGAAGGAATACGAGCATAGATTTTATTTATTTTTAACAGGCCAGAGATCACCTCAAATAAAACTCATTCCATCCTGGTATACACAGAAGTTGATATTGGAGAGCTGCTGATTGTCAAACTGCAGTGGACGAGTGACTCTATTTTCACATGGTCAGATTGGTGGAATATCCCTGAGCTTGGCATCAAAAGGGTCAGAGTCAAAGCTGGAGAAACCCAAAAAAAGTAAGGCAGTTTCTTTTTGTTATAGGAAATGAGATTATATTATTTTTTTATGAAGTATTATTTTAGCATTGTTTACTTTATGGCACATTCCTCTATCATCTAGAAGCAGTTACTATCTCAAAAGGTAGTATTCTGCCATTCAAACTCTTGAGCTACATGACAGAAGACTTTTTAAAGCTTTTTGTCCTGAGTATCTGAACAACAAGCTGAATGGGCAGCAGGAATGGCTTAGCTAGAGCAGGCTCAGATTCTGCTGGGTGTATTTAACAGAAAGCAATTGTCATATTAAGGAAACTTGAATATTTGTAAACTTTATAAATATAATTACTGATTTTTAGCCTTGGCATAACTAATTAGCTATAAAATGGCTCCCAAGCTCTGTTTCCACAGTTACAACATTTAATAAGGCAGCAAATCCACATATATTTAGACAGTCATCTGATGTTTAACCTGCTCTGCAGTGCTGTTTTTAATGTTTATCTTTTGCATTTTTAATGGGTTTTTAAAAAATAGTTTGCTGATTTTTATGGTGAGGTGGGTTTGTTTGTTTGTTTGTTTGTTTGTTTGTTTGTTTATACCCCGCCTATCTAGTCATTTCGACCAGTCTAGGCGGCTTACAACATAAAAACATATGTTTATATTATGTTATTAAGGTTTTAGCTAACAGTTGGTCATATCTTCAAAAATCTTGTAAGCTACCTTGAGTGCTGTCTTTTAGTGGAAGGGCAGGGCATAAATGTAGTAAATAATAAATACATTTACAGAGTTTTTTTTTTAAAAAAAATTGGGAAGCCAGTTAAATAACAAGAGAATAAGACATTATATTTAAAATATTTTAGTACAGTAATCCTTTCTTCATGCATATTAACAGGTTAGTGTTCTGCTCTCCAAATGGATTCTCTCATCTCAAAAAAGGAGATAAAGTTGCAGAGTTTGTGAGATGCCATGTAGACTCATCCAATGAGGCAGATTCGTGGTAAGAACTTCACAGTTGCCAAACAAGGAATGACCAAGGATCAGCCAATGCATGCTTTTCACAAATACTACGGGCCAAGCTCTGTGTGTAACAGATTCTCATGTTACACTTTTGCAGGCACTCACATCGTCATGTTGCTATATGGACTCCCCCGCAGAGAAGGGTGCCTAGGACATAAAACCATGTTCTGTGTCATGTTTCAGTCCCTAACTTTAAACCTCATTTAATACCCACCATAACCTACACACCCCATATTAGAAAAATGCAATATAAAGTCTTCCATATGCATTCTGAAAGTGTACCGTCTGGCTGTAAAGTTAAGAAACTGCAACTAATATGTACACAGAATGGCAGCTTGTAAGAGATGCAGCATCTCTATCTCTGCCTTACATTGGTGGAAATGATTACAAAATGTCCTGCTGTGTTAATAGTCCCATTAATTTTTCTAAAAAGGAACACTGCATTTTTGACTGACAGGGGGACAGTGAGGGGGAATCTTTCGACTGGCTGCTAGTGTTCTAAAAACAAGGATAGCCTTTTGGAAAGTAGCTTAACCTTTAAATCTGATCTTTTTGCAGGATACTTTACATTCATCTATTACAGTGACCATTGTCAGCATTATGCAGACTCTTAATTTGAAGGGGTCCCTATTGCAAACAAGACCGAAAACACAACCACTGAATATCCTGAGATTTGTCTGGCCTTATCCAAATACTTACAAGTGCCTCTGGGGGGAAAACTGTACTTGCTATGATGAAAACAGTTTTCCCAAGCTCCTGTTTCCCACATAATATACTACTAGCATAATATACTCATGGCGTTTGCCAGAAGCATTTGTGTGTATGTGTGTGGGGGGGGGGCAGGGAGGGAGGGAAAGGGTAAGGAGAAAAATTAATAATCCGTCTTGTCTGATATCTCTCCCCTTCAAATGCATCCTTTTCCTCCCTTGAATGTGTTTACTGTATATTCCCTGCCTCCACATCCATGACCTGAAAGCTCAAGAGGGGAAAGGGGTGGGAGGTTTTGCAGGACAGTACCTATGCTCTTGGGGAATATTGTGTTTACTGTATATTCCCTGCCTCCACAGGGAAGGCAAGAGTATAGGTACTGAAGGCCAGTACCTATGCTCTTGGGGAATAATAACCATTCCTCTGTCTCTGACTGAGGATCCTCCTCTCAAATGCTCTGCCTCCCCAGCATTCCTGTGAACTGACACCCACGTGTTTAGGAAATGGGTTTTCTGTCAATATATAAGTTAATGTCTTGCAGTTCCATTATTTTAGTACTTTGCCAATACGGTGGCTGTTTAATTTGTATGTAAGGTATACAAGAGCTCAGCAAAAATCTTAATGTTGTACTATTGGTATCTGTTACCTTTCCCAGTGGTTTAGAATTCTGTGCACTGTTCCCAGAATCCTTTACTGCTTCCTTGTATGATGCTGCAGTTAAGGAAAGGCAGTGTGGAATAACATCTGGAGGAATCATTAAATTTTACCTTAAGCACTCCTATCAACAAAGGCACAGTAGTAGCTTTGCACTGTCCTTATACACATCACTTTTGTGCTAGTTTTGTTGTATAATTTCTGAAAGAATCCTGAGAAATGAAGTTTGGAGAGGACTTTAAAGACTCTGTTAAAGATATCTGGTTAACTCCCTTAGACCTTCAACTTGCCAGGATTCTTTTGAGAGGTGAGGGTGGAATTTAGATTATTAAACCAGTTAAGTATATACAGTATCTTCAGGTGGGTGAACTCAATTTCACTTTCCAGCAAGACAGGATCTAGAAAGTTCTGTTAACTCCTGAGTTTTCTAAATGGTGGTTGTTTTTTTTTTTTCTGTTTAGAAACCAGTCAAATTATGAAATATTCCCACTTGGAGTTCTTCAAAGAATGAAAAATGAGTGAAGAAACTGAGTTCTGGGAAGGAAACCCCAGAGTGCTGGGCATCCAGGACTGAATATTTTGCAATATTTATCTGCCTTCTGTAATAACTGTCAACCTTGTTTAGTCTTGGAGACTCTCACCTAAATCCAGCTCTATAGTCTAGTTGCACCAGAATGTGGTTTGGGAATCGGCATTCAAATGCAAATCCCACTGAAAGAGCAGTGTAATGGAGATAAGCAATATTTTCATTCAAATTAGCACCTAAAGGCACACCTAATGTGTGTGTAACACCAGAGAGTGTTATGTGTCCAGAAGCCTACTTTTTTGTGCTGCTTATCAGGATCCAGGGTATCTTTGCATCATCCTGTCACATTAAAGAAGACATTGGTCAAGCATTGGGGAGGAGGGAAATAAACTTTCTTGCATATGGTGACAGGTACATTATTGGCAGGAACCTGCAAGAATTTTCACATGATCATGTAACAAATGTTTCTTGGTTTTTATAATGTACTGCATTTAAACTTTGCTATTTATTTAAAAGCTGTATACATGGGCTGTCTTGAAGTTTATTGAACTGATGCAGTGGCTGGCTTTTTTCTTTTTAATCTGCGACTGGACAACTTGCTGGGCAGTGTCCATTCAGCTAATTCATCCATTTTCACATTCTCTGCTCGCTGCAATTCAGTTATTCCTCTTAAATGATTAGGACAGTAGATAACCATATGACTCATGCCTGTGTTACCCCTTGAAGAGGATTGAGTAGTTGCCTCTTTGAAAATTCCAAGGTAAGGGCTTCAGTAACAGGTCAGCAGTCCCTACATTTAGGAATGACTTATTTACCCGTATTGTCATTATATGACAAATACATTTTTTTTCAGAAGAGAAGGTGGCATTGTCATTGTTTTGTGCTTGTCTGTTAAATATGAATCCAGTACATTTCATTAAAAGCCTATTCAGTCCCTGATTTTTTTTCTTTTACAAAGTCATTGTTTTCACAATGAATTTCCAATTGTACTTATTGGATACTACACCTAGTCTTGGACAATGGTCCCAATCGAATTCTTTCTTGCTCCCCTAAACCCAAATTCCGGCTGACAGTTGCCCTTCCCTTATTGAGTCCAGTGTTCCTGTCTTTGAAAGAGGATGTAATTTGTTGCTGAGCTGTAAGAATGACGTAACTTGAAGGCAGTGTTTAGCTATAAGGGTAAAGTAAGTTTTAGCAAAATGCAGTGTTGTGTGCTGTCAGAATATGTACAAATATAATACACTTTGGATAACAAAGGTCACATGGATAAGCTATAGAAAATAGGTGAGTGCAGCTGAAGAAGCATTCAGGCTGAAGACAGTTTGCTTCATTCAGCTAGACATTCAAACTTGGAAGCAGGGTTGCAATATTTGTGCAGTATGTTTAAACCAGACAGTGTAAACTGTGTTTATATGAAGACAGGCATATCTGAACCAATCTTTTAGCACCCCTCTGATTATTGTATGATAGTATTTATTAAATTTGGAAAATTTTATCACAGGAAAATTGTGTGTGGAGAGAAACAAACTGAAGTCCAATATGAAGCAATTTTTTTTAAAAAAACTTCATTAAAAACATGAACAACCAATTACTATAGGAGATTTATAAAGTGCTCCTATAGTGTATTCTCGACAAATTCTGACTTCCATTTTCAATTGTTTGAAGAGTAAACTTTTTGCTTTGAAGTAAGACATATTATGAATTGCACATTTGAATACATGGACAAATATGAACACCAACAGCACTTGATCACCAGCTGGTGAATGATTCTTTTATACATGAGAAAATATAACTTGGCTTTAAATATTTCTATTTATTTTTTTGTAAAATATATGTATATGGGTGTAAAAGTTACTATGTATATATTGCTGAAGCTATCAAAGCAAGGCTTACATATGCATTTATACTGATGTGTGGTTTAATTTCTGTAAATAGCTCCCCCCTCAAAGTATTATATATGTGGAAAATGCTGCTGCAACTGTCAACTTTTTTCCCCAGATACACCTCTATTTTGTGCTACATGGAAATCTGCAAATTTATTAAAACCAACAATTTATTACAAAATAAAATGGCTGAAATGATGTGGTTTTTTGGGGGGGAGGGGGGCAGTATTGGAATGAACTACCAGAACAAAAATTAGAGGAATAGCTACTCCTAACATACTTGGGTCAAGTGTATACACAATTATCTAATTTAAATAGTGTGAATGGAGACAGCTAGTTCATGTGAATGAAATGCCACTTAATGTGTACAATAACTTGGTGTGTAGCTGGGAAAAATCTGCCTCCTACTGCCTTTCAAGTTGTTTCTGAATCAGGGTTCTATATACAGATAAAGTTTTCTAGGATGGTTTTGGCTGAGAACAACCCATGCTGTGAGATAAAAGGCTTATTACAGTGGTACCTCACTAAACGACGATGACGCTAAATGATGAATTAGCATAATGATGACTTTTTGCGATCGCTATAGCGATTCACAAAACAGTAATTCCTATGAGGGGTTTTCGCTGGACATCGATTAAGTCTGTGCTTCGCGAACCATTTGTTAGCAAGACAATGATTTTTTCGGCTCTGCACAACAGTCATTCCTATGAGGGATTTTCGCTGAGGCATTTTCGTCGATTAGGTCTGTGCTTCGCGAACCATTTGTTCGCAAGACAATGATTTTTTCGGCTGTGCAGAATGGCTGCCCTGTGTTTTTTGGACCCATGCTTCGCAGGGCAGCCATTTTTACAGCTGATCGGTGCTCGCAAAATGGTTTCCCTATAGGCGATCTTCACTGGATGACAAGGTATTTTCCCCATTGGAACACATTAAACCGGGTTTCAATGCATTCCAGTGGGGAAAGGGTTTTCGCATGACGATTTCGCTAAACAGCGATTTTCACGGGACGGATTATCATCGTCATGGGAGGCACCACTGTCTTTTAGTTCCAAAATTCAGGTCAAATGGTTGTCATTCTTTGTCATGTTTCCCTATTAGCTGCTTCATTTCTCATTATCTTCATTTCAAGGATAAGTTTTGTAGGGTTGGGGATTTCACAAATGTAGACATTCTGAGACACCCGAATCAACATTTGTGAAATCTGCAACTTTCTTCCCCAACTGCAAACACTCTTCACGGGTAATTTGTCTTCTGAGCTACAGCCCATCCTTTATCTGTTTACTCAGTACTAAGCTCCATTGAGCTCAACAGTATTTGGAATATGTGCTCACGTGAGAGAGATTAAGACTGAAGTAATAACTGAATTCTGCAAAAGAAAATACAGTATATTTGTGCTGAACTGAGAAGCCTGCAAATTTCCAGAGATAGTCTTCAGGTGGGTTTCTGAAAGCAGGAGCAAGTTCCTTTCTCTGAGAATAGATGCATTGGAAAGGCATTTTTAAACTCTTGTCATAGTATCACTGCTACTACACCACATTGGTGTCATGGATAAATCAGTAGACCAGGACTCGGGTGACATGTGTTTGAACCCTGGCTTCCACAGGAAACTTGGTGTATTTGTGTGTGTCACACCACCCCCTAAATATCTCACCTTGAAAGTCCTTTCAGAGTCATTAAAGAGTCAGTTCCAACTTGATGGCATATAACACAATCATGCTTAGCATTTTTTTTAAAAATTGAGCTTTCAAAACAGATTCTTCACATTAGTTTAGTAATCCTTACAGCACATCTGTGATTTTAGACTGTATGCTTACATCTGAGTAGGAAATTAGGGTGTATGTGTCCTGGTCAATCCTTTTATGACACACTACATGAGTTATGTGCAATGAGCAAACAGCATTGCATATTATCCAATTTAACTGCTTGGATTTGGGATGCTGTGACAACTTGGAAAGGAGAGAAAGTCCTGGTGCTTGGTATGGGTAAGCGGGAGGGAAAATCTGAACAAGGAGTAAAGGTTCCCCTTGACAATTTTTGTCCAGTCGTGTTCGACTCTAGGGGGCGGTGCTCATCCCCGTTTCCAAGCCATAGAGCCAGCGTTTTTGTCCGAAGACAATCTTCCGTGGTCACATGGCCAGTGTGACTTAGACACGGAACGCTGTTACCTTCCCACCAAGGTGGACCCTATTTATCTACTTGCATTTGCATGCTTTCGAACCGCTAGGTTGGCGGGAGCTGGGACAAGCAACGGGAGCTCACTCCGTTGCGTGGATTCGATCTTATGACTGCTTGATCTTCTGACCCTGCAGCACAGGCTTCTGCGGTTTAGCCCGCAGCGCAGAGAGGGAAAATCTGAACAAGGACAGAGGAACAGAAACACCAATGAAGAAAAAGAGAGAAGAGAGGAGAGAAGGAAATGGAAAGAAAGCTCATGAGTCAGGTTAAGGGGTTTCTTACTCCTATTCCTATTAACCCAGATTTACAGTGGGGTCTCTACTTAAGAACTTAATCCATATTGGAAGGTGGTTCTCAAGTTGAAAAGTTCTTATGTTGAATCTGCATTTCCCATAGGAATGCATTGAAAACCATTTAATCCGTATCTGCTCTTTTCCGTCCATAGAAACTACAGTAGAACCTCTACTTAAGAACTTAATCCGTTTTGGAATGGTGTTCTTAAGTTGAAACGTTCTTAAGTTGAAGCATAATTTCCCATAGGAATGGACTGAAAACCAATTAATCCGTTCTGGCTGTTTTTTTGTTATGTAGAGGTGCGTTCGTACATTGAAGCATTAGTTCCCATAGGAACTAATGCAAAGCTGGTTAATATGTACTCTGCCCCTAGGGGGAGAATTTTTTTTAACCTAAGATGACCTAAGGTTAAAAAAGAGGAGGAAAAGGTTTTTTCCCCCTGTTCTTATCTTGGATTTCTGTTCTCAAGTAGAAGCAAAATTTAGCAAATGGAGCTGTTCTTAAGTTGGATTGTTCTTAAGTAGGGACGTTCTTAAGTAGAGACCCCACTGTATAGGAAACCCTGATACAGTCTGCGAAGATCAAGTATAAAGGAAGAGAGAAGTAGGAGAGAGAGAGAGAACACTTGCCTGGGAATAGGAGTGATCATATTCTTGCTAGCAGTAAATAACGTAAGTACTACTAACATATCTTCTTTACTGTGAACAAGGCTAACTTGTCTGACACCAAGCCTTTCCAAGGAAAGTACATGGCTCCTATGTCTTACAACAATGGCAGTCTGTTTTTACACGCCAAAGGTTTCCCTTTGGTGAAGGGGAAAGAGGAGGCATTTAATGAAAGGCACAGTTAAAAGTTATTTGAAAAGATAATTTTCCAGAGACAAGAATGCTTTCGGTATAGATTGCCTATAGTGGCATGGAAACACTGAGCCACAACACCAGTAAAGAATGGGATGAGATGGGAACTCAAGCATTAAAGCCACCCCACCCAATAACATCAGTTTTTTTTTTCCTCCTTTATGATTTGAGATTCACCCTGAGATTTGTCACCTTGCCTGGCAATGGACTAGAGACCATCCATCAAGCAGAAATGCCTTCCAAATAAAAAACTGCCCTTCGGAATAGAGTGTATGTGGCCAACCGTCATGTCCTGTTGGCCAAACAAAGCTGTTTCTCTTGGGGAAAGCCTGCATCTATGTACTCATTTACTTGATACATGTATTCTTTTATCATCAGTGTTTGTGATCCCAAAAGTTAGTTGGTCCTGACAAGAAGTCAAACTTTTTATTTAAAACACCTCCTAACTACAGTATATTTAGTTTATACAGATGGATTCTGAGAGTTGTAGTTCAAAACAACAAAAGCCGATCTCACAGCCATAAATACTCAACTCCAAAACAAACTGCACCAGAGCACAGAGTGGTGTCCTCTGAAGATGCCGGCCACAGAGATTGGCGAAACGTCAGGAAGAACAACCTTCAGAACACGGCCAAAGAGCCCGAAAAACCCACAACAACCATTAGATCCCAGCCGTGAAAGCCTTCACGAATACAATAACAATCATATTCTTGCTAGCAGTAAATAACGTAAGTACTACTAACATATCTTCTTTACTGTGAACAAGGCTAACTTGTCTGACACCAAGCCTTTCCAAGGAAAGTACATGGCTCCTATGTCTTACAACAATGGCAGTCTGTTTTTACATGCCAAAGGTTTCCCTTTGGTGAAGGGGAAAGAGGAGGCATTTAATGAAAGGCACAGTTAAAAGTTATTTGAAAAGATAATTTTCCAGAGACAAGAATGCTTTCGGTATAGATTGCCTATAGTGGCATGGAAACACTGAGCCACAACACCAGTAAAGAATGGGATGAGATGGGAACTCAAGCATTAAAGCCACCCCACCCAATAACATCAGGTTTTTCCCCTCCTTTATGATTTGAGATTCACCCTGAGATTTGTCACCTTGCCTGGCAATGGACTAGAGACCATCCATCAAGCAGAAATGCCTTCCAAATAAAAAACTTCCCCTTTGATATAGAGTGTATGTGGCCAACCGTCATGTCCTGTTGGCCAAACAAAGCTGTTTCCCTTGGGGAAAGCCTGCATCTATGTACTCATTTACTTGATACACGAACCTCCCCCTGGTTCTTTGCTCTGATGTGTGATAAGATGTGGTGATCTCATTTACTTGGCTCTCACATTTACTCTGGGAGGATGCTTTCATTTTTCAGGGAAAGCCTTTGTGAGAAATCTTGCAGGACTGGGAGGCTTTTGAAATAATATCTAATGAAAGGAGATTATGAACAGACAAACACCATGGTGCAATATAATCTCTTCTTATAAATCTACTGAGAAGTGTGTGAGCATTGAAGAAACACAGTCAGATACAGTGAGGGGACTGTACACAACAACACAAGAGATGGAGAGAAGAGGGAGGCCTGTTGGACTTAAAAGCAGAAGGTCAGCCAATTATGTTTTGCCTGCCTTCCAAAATATTTACTGATTCTTCAGCTGAAATTTATGTAGACTAAGGGATAGGTGGGATACCTAGTGTTGTGTAGTGGACAGACTGATAGACTAGAACTCTGGAAACTTATTTACTGATTCTTCAGCTGAAATTTATGCAGACTAAGGGATAGGTGGAAACCTAGTGTGGTGTAGTGGACAGACTGACAGACTAGAATTCTGGAAACCAGGGTTCAAATCCTCACTCTGCCA